CTTCTGGGCTGGAAGTGCACATTGCGGGCTCATGTTGATCTTCTGACCAACCAACATCCCCAAGTCACCTTTCAGCAAGCTCCCTGGCAGCACGGTGTATGGTTCTGACGGTGTCTGAGTGAACTTCCCTGTCAATATTTCTATTTTCTTAGTCTGCTTACAGAACCTATTGGACATGGTGCTCCTTGCCTGGTTGAGAGCTGTGCCTGGGTTCATGGGGCTCTTCCCATCTGTGTTGCCACCCTGCTGGTCCTGTACTGTTGGTGGCTCTGGGGGCTGTGGGCAGAAAGGCAGAGGCTGCTTTTATCCTGCCTTTGCTGTAAAATGGGATTTTTCTAGAGTTCATTCAACCAAACAGAGAAGATACTGAAATATATTTCTTCCTCCAAATAATATGATTAATTTTAATACCATATTTTTTAACTTCATGTGAATGGGTGTTGGGTCTATATTTTTCTTAATTTTGAAGATAATAGTTTAATTATAAAACTTTTTTCTTCTCTGACTGGAATTTCTTTTCTCAGACTACCCCTTGAAAATGCTGGGAGGGATTTAATCTGATGCTTTTGAAGCACTTTACAAACATCAGGAATGTAATGTTTAAAACACTGATACAGTTATTTGCAGTTGAGCTTTTACAAAAAGGTGCCTTCTATCAATGTAAACTTGAGTTCAAACTTGGAGTTTAGTTGTGCTTGAAAGCCATGTTTCTGTTTGATCTGATTATATGTACGGAGCTTTGTGATTTATGTATTTCTTTTAACTTAAAAAAATCAGTATGTGTTCAAAAGTGAATGGTGAATTCCTCTCTGGACTACACTAGATCAAATTCAAGTTGTAACTGTCAAGTTCAGTCATTGGAGTTGACCACACTGACTTTCTTAGGGCTAAAAATTTTGCACTGCTCTACTGGTGACTGTTATGTAACTACCTACTGGAAAGTAATTAAGCTGATGATTGCAAATGGAAACAGACTTAGCCAAGGCATTAAATTTACAGAGGTGCTTGAGAGACCATATTGATAGCAGGATTTGTAAAAGCCATGTCACTGTAAATAGTATCAGCTTGCTGTCAGAAACAGACTAATGTGCTGCCTTAAAATCACCTTAACCTATGCAGCTAATGTTCTTTCTGGAGGTGCATAGCAATAACTGATGTCCTACCTATCCTTATTTTCTGTAGCACTTGTGTTCAAAATCCATGTTTCCTCTTTCCTCAGGGAGAACACACTTGAGTGTGTCTAATTTGGTTCAATGAATTTTGTTGCCAGCTTAGGTAGAATTATAATTTTAATTAAAAACAGGACACAGAATGCTGAAGGTTGTATTTTGCTGTGTGAAAACTGGAGCTTCTTACTAAGAAATGTTGGGAAGAAAAGATGCTAACAGGATGAACTTTAGCTGTACAGGTCTTCACAGGCAATCAAACATCCAACATGGTATGCATATCGTATTTGGACTGCTCATCTGAACTTCATGGAAATATTAGCAAACAGTATCAAGCAGGAGAATATGCCAATTTAAGGGAAACTGTAGATAACAGTAACATCTTTAGGTAAACCAAGTTTTGCACTAGCTTTCTAAAATAACATAATCTGTATGTGTCTCTCTGGTCTTTCAGAACTAAAACTTCAAAGTCTTAATTTTCTACTGACAAACCCCACATTTTTATTATTCTATTGGAATATTTTGGTTTTTCTTTATGTGCTGAAGATTCAGGACATGTTTCTGTGATTTTTCTCCTCTTTTTTCCACATTGAAATGACATTTCACTTGGGGAGTCTCCTGCCTCTCTTCCCCCCGTGTGTTACCAATAGGCTGTGTTGAATATATTAATTTCCACTTTGTGGGAAACTCCCCCAAATTTCCTAAACTCTGGAAGAAAAAAAATCAGCTGTATTTAGAAATGCTTGTCAATGCCTGCTCTTTTCATTTAATCAGCAATAGGACGTATGAATGCAGTACTGAACTATGTGGGAGCCTTTGGGACCAAAGTATAACAGTTTGAACTACTCAGCTCTGGTCAGATGTCTTTGTAATATACTTTATTTACAGCCTATTCTGTTACTGTTTCCTCCAGAGTGGTACCCAAGGTTATAGGACTGTAAATAGACTTGATTTCAAAGGTGGCACTTAGCTTTGTCACCAGTGTGTCTGCACTTTTTGTCCAGACAATGTTACTCCTTTGGCATGTGTTGTCATGAGCAGGATTTTCCCAGAGACTTTTGGCATTTGGTTAGCTTGCAAGCATATGTATTTACGTATAGTTACAGCAGTTTATTCTATTTGGGTTCTTGCTCGTGCTGTTAGCTGTGGTATCCAGAAATACTACAGAAGGCTTTAATATTTGGTATCTTTATTTAAATCTATGCATTTCAAGGATGTCAAAGAAACAGAAGAAAGTTTGTTTTCAGTTATGCTAATATTGGTATTAGCCGTTTTATGATGTGGTCATAAAATTATTAATATTTAAGATTTTAGAGGTCTAGCTAAGATGTTTATCCTGACTAAAAGAACAAGAACTAAAAGCTAACATTCTGTGATTGCTTCCAGCTCACTACTTCTGAGCTAAGGTAATACTGGTTGTGCCACTCCTGCAGGCTCCCCCAGGATCCATCTCTGTATTGTCACGTTATTTACCGTTTCGTTCCTTCTTAGAAGTGCGACAGTGAGAAAGGTCTGTAAGGAGTCTACCCCTCCAGAGATGGGCACCTGGCTTTGCTAACACTGATACAGTGTTTTTTCTTTTTTTTCTGAATTAATACGTAGGCTGAGTCTCTTTGGTCACTTTGCAGAGAACAGGGGAACAGAGGGGGAAGATGCTGTCCCAGTATTCTCTCACTGTGATGAGAGTTAATAAAGCTTCTGCCTGAGTTGTCCTAAATTTACTTGCATTATTGTGCTCTTGGAGTTCCCAGATTCTCCAACCACAATCTGCTTGCAGAGATGCATTTTATGCTTTTCTCAGATTTCATGGAAAACTTAAATAATTGCCACTTGTGACTTCTGAATTTCCCATCTCCAGAGTCTGTTGAAAACTTTTTATGCCTGTGATATGTACTTAATTTGCTTGATTGTGACATTGTGTAATTTTTGTATTTCACACCCTTCTCCTTCAAATAACTCTTTTACCATGGACCTAGCACCAATTGCAAGATGGGTATTTTGTCTCTGAAAATTGATTTATTAATAAACATTTTATCTTTAACACAATATTTTTGTCTTCTTACTTCCTGCTCTTCATGCTTGGTGTAGTCTTCTCTGCTCAACTTTGGCAAGAACTGGCCTTCAAACCTTGTTTTCAAGAACCTGTATTACACAAAATCTTTCTACTTTGACCTCCTACTTGTAACTCTTGCATTTCTCCCGGCATTTTAATGATTTTGTGTTGTTTAGAGTTAAGATATTTGGCATCAAGTGTTAGTATCGAGTGTCACATAGCATTGATTTGGGGAGTCCTAATGGATTGATTAGGAACTTATGTTGGTCATCCAAGAGCAGTCATTTATACTGTGATATCCATTATGGACATAAATTGCTTTTTGCATTAGAAAGTCAAAGTCAAAGAGAGTTAAGTCATTGCTACCTTTTTGTCTAACATATTGTTGCTTTTTTACCTACCTCAGTAGGAGATTTCTTTCATGCTGCTAGATAAAGTTTGTTATTAATGCTAGGGTCATTCACAAGTGGATTATTCCAGAAGTTTTCAGTATATTCCCCAATATGTTGCAGTTATTAATCTGCAAAAGCAAACACTAAATGAAAAGATTTGGGATGGATAAAAAGAATTGCTGGTATTATTTTTTATTAGTCTTCTTTTTAACCCTGAAATGAAAAAGCTCATTCTCAGACTTGTTGAAACACCAATCAGAGAGTCTGCATAGTATACTCTGAAATTATTTTCCCCTTTAGTTTAAAAAGGCTTTCACCCTATTATTTTTATTAATTATAGAGTCTACTTGCTATTAATATAGTCTCCATGAAAATACAAGTACAAAAAATTGCCTATATTAAATCTGTATGAATGGTCTTTCATTATTTCCAGGTAAATAAAAATGCAAATATGCAGTTTCAATAATTAAGCAGCAGCAGTTAGTTTAGAAATCTCAGTTCTTCCTGATAAAACGTGTAGTGCTTTGTGGCATTTTTATCTAAAAAACACCTGGATGTGCACTGTCGAGGTGAAAGAATGCAAAGTAATTTAAAATGCACTCTGACTACACAGTGTAAACAGGCATTCAAATGTGTACATGTATTGGCACATAAACACCAAGCATATGATCTGCTCCACTGAACAAGACAGTTCATAAGTCATAGCTGTTGAATGTTAAATATGGAAATAATTGGAGTTACCTTATGCAGTGAAACTGTAGTAGTGCAGACTAGGCATTACAGTCCTGACATAAATTTCTTGACAAAGAGAGACAGCTCAAAAATGAGGATAAATTTCTTCTTTGCAATGCTTAGTTTCACTGTTGTCTTCTTGTATGTGTCTGCCCATTGCTCCTTTCTCTGAATGGATTTTGTAGTGCTTCTGATTAGTGCTGCAGTCATACCATAAGAAACTAAAATCTCCATTTGATGCTTGAGATGAATACTGCAAAACCAGCAACTGGGCACTTTCTTCTACAACTCAAGGTCTCTCAGGAGAGTTGATGTCAGATGCTGTGGTGATAACAGCCCAGGTCTGCTGGGGATCAACCTTTTTCTGTGTTCCGAACTGCTTACTTCAAATAAGACTCACACAAAAGTAGCTAAATAGCATGAAATGTGATTGTGGCGTTAAGTACAGTGAATCATGGGAGTGGCTAGTTTCACTTTGGATTAAGACACTGAGAAACCATTAACAGGAAAACTACATTTTTAAGAAGAAAAACTTGTAAGGTTATTATGGATAGAATCAGTAGGCCTGAAGCATGTTTCTTAATCATGGGCTTAGGTAGCTCTGAGGTTTATATTTTTGTGTTTTTTGCATTTCTAACTGATTTCTGTTTGTTGCAGGCAGTGGAATGGCAGTGTGATGAAGCTACTAAAAGAGCCTGTTACAGTAAAGGCAAATCAAAGGTAAGCATGAGACAGCTGTTCTACTTTAATAAAATGTATATGTTAATAGCAGGTGTAAGTCAGTGTAAAAATCTCTACCTGGTGCATTTTTACTGTCTCCCTCCCATAGAGTTGTAGGAGAGAAGTCTGACACTGATGTATAAGCAAAGGAATAAAAAACAATCTAGGGAGTCTGGAGTGAGAGGCACAGACATGTCATTCTTTTCTGAAATGATCAAGATCTTTAGTTTCCAACAATTTACTGTTTTGGCTCTACAACATGTCATATGTAATGGGCTGTATTATCACGTCATTTTCCGTGCTGTAAATCCTGAATAACTTTGTATTTACTTTGTAAAACCCTCCATTTGTTTCTCTGTGTATTAGATGCAATTGTACTAACATTTATATTTCATATCTATTGTCTCATTGAAGAAAATAAAATGAAATTCACTACCTTTTTAGACATGGAACTTGATATATTTTTAGTATTCAGAACCAGTTCCTTATCTGGCCAACTACCATTTCTTTTATTCAGTAAGTAAGTGTTGTGCCAAGATGGAACCTATATGGATGTTGTGTTCTTTAGTGGATCTCCTAGGCTGAAGCTAGCTAAAAATTGATTAGAAAAGCAGTTAGAAATGCGTGCAGTCTACTCCTGTAATTATTATGCTGTTTTATTATAAAAGTTAATTGAGTTAGAACATAAAGGGAAAATACAAGAAGAGTGATCACTTCAGAAATGCACATTTGATTTCAGGATCCATGTTTGGTAGAACATGTCAACATATGTTACTAATGTTCAAAACTCAAAAAAAAAAAAAAAAGAAGCTTCAAAAATGTATTTCAAATGTTTCTATAATCTAGTAGAAGAGGATTATCTTCCTCATCGTCATCTCATCACTGACTGTTGAACGTCTCCCATTAAACAGTTCATTTGCAGATTTTTTTTCACTAGGTGCTGAAAAATAATGTTGCAGTCTGCTCTTGTCCCATTCATTTCTGTTTAAGATTCAAGTGGCCTCACTTCAGAAGCAGGGCTGTGTTATATATACTATGCTGAGAGAAAAAGAGTTACTTGGGAAAAAAAAAACAGGTGTAGTGAATGTGCAATGTAATTCTCGTACATGGTTATTATCTTCATTGAGGAACATCATTCACTGTAGAAATGAGTTTACAGTACTGGTAAAAGGCATTAAGAACAGTGTTGCCTTCTGTATCCACCTCCTTTCTGTTTCTTTCCATCCCCATGTGGGAAATGTACTTAAGAGTTACTGATCACTTGCTATTAAGGTGCAGAGTTTGCTAGGTATATATAAGTTATTAACAGCTAGAGAAAAAAAAATAGGTTAGATTTGACTTAAAGATTTCTAACTTGAGTAGACAAAACCTGGTGACTCAAGTTATATGTGAAGGCTTTAATGGCAGAAATAGCATCTAGTAGGTGTTCTGATCTACAATCTTACTTGTCATTTTGTGGAGAGAAAAAAAACAACTTCTGGGACCTCATGCTTCAAGCAAATGTTTCATTTTGTAAGTTGTAATTTCTCCCTGGAAGATTTATGCTTCTTTATGTAATATATCCCTCAAGCATTCATCCTTAGTTTTCAGGTGACGATACTCTGAAGAAAGAGAGCATGCTCAAGTGACTATAGAATATGACAGATTGTATTGATCAAGGTGCATATACAGTGGAAACTATCGTGGTAGGAATGCAATGTGTTACTGAAAGTTTTTGCCTCTGTTTTTCAGTGTTTTTCCAATTTTAAAACTGTGAGAATAACACTCAGTTTTTCTGAAAGTCACAGAACACTAGAACACTGAATGTTGTCTAACATGATAATGAAAGTAATGGCAAATTTGAGACTATAGTAGGGTATTTTTGAATATTATGTTAAAAATACTGTTTGTGGTGTAAAATCCACATTCAGTTCAACAATCATAGACTCCTATGTTACTGATAAATGATTTTGTTAGGAGAAATACTCAACACTGGTGAAATACATTTAAGAATAGATCTTAGTGTAGTGTGTATGTGCAGATTTTCATCCATGTTCCTCACAGCCTTTTGAAGAAGGTGCTGATTGAAAGTTATGCTGTCACTGTAAAATAGTATATACACACTATTCTGATAGCAACCTCTGAAGTTGTTTCTAAGTATTGTTATTAGTTGGGTTGGTTTTTTTTTCCCTTTCATCTATATCCATAGCCTCACAGTCTAAAGAAGAACATTCCTTATATTTAATGACTTTCAGAGGTAATCCTGGAAGGAAGTAGTTTTCTTACTGCTACCATAGGGCTTTTTTTGGTTTTCAGTCTTTGTGGCCTGAAATCTTCATGTAGGAGTTGCTGAAGAATTCAGAGATACTGACTGAGAAAACATACTCCAGTTTCTGGGGCTTGAATTTCTGTATCATTTCTCAAGGTGACTTCAGGTTTCAGGCCAGACACATGTGTGACTGCAGGGAAACAACAGGAAAGATTTAAGACAGTATATGCAGGGCCAGCCCAGACTGTGGCAAAGGAGGGATGAGGATTACAAGGATAGCTGTGGGTAAGGTATTTATTCACATCCTCGATTGTCTTGAAGTTCTGTTGCCCGCAGAGTAGCATGGGAGCAATGAGTTTGGGCGGCAAAACTAAAAGTCAGAATGCCCTGAAACCAGAAGCCAGCTTGAACCGTGAAGAAATTCTAGTAGTTATGAGATAATGGTCAGTTAAACACAACTCTTTTTTCTTGTTGTTCTTGAGAAAGAGGCTGCACAGAATTTTTGCCTCTAGCTGTTAGCAGTAGTTGTTGTTCTGAGGTTTATTCTTTAAGAACCAATGAGGGATAAGAGCTAAAGGGAAAAATATATGGGGACATCTGTCACATTTGACAGTGTAATGTGTACTTAACTTTTGAAGGCTGATGTCTGTTATTGAGACTTCAAACATTTATCCACCAATTTAAGCTGTTGCTTAAAATAACTAGTGGCTCCAGGAGTGAGCCAGACAAAATTATGTCTTTGTGGCCAGCATACATTAGCATTTAGAAGTCTAAAACACCACACATGGTTAAGAGAATAAAATTGGCCATTCATACGGGCACTTGTGGTAGAGACTTTTATAAAGGAAAATATAAATACACATGGTAAAAATACAATAAACCAAAGAGAGATTAAAAATATAGATGTAATTAAAATCTCTTATCCCTTGCTTATTTTAAGATTCTAATGGCTGTGTGTGTTAGCATCTGAACTTTCAATAAAAGTATTAAAAAGCTAAACACAGGTGAATTTAAACTGTTAGCCTATACCAGAAACATTGCTACACATACATAACCATTAGATTGTCCTTCAACTGCCGAGTTGGTCTTAAATAGCAACCTAGTCTGCTTGGCTGCTGAATTGCTTCTGATAGCTGAGTTTTGTCTCAGATGTGCTGATATAAAAGTTAAAAGTACTTGCTAAATTGATTTATTTCTTTCAGAGATATTTTTAGAGGACAATAGGAAAGTATATCAAATAGAGCTCAAGATGAAATCAGAATAAGAATGCTCAAAAAATGGCCAGCAAACCTACCACCACCCTGCAAATTAAAAAACAAACAACAACACACAACTTTTGTTTTGAAGTCCTTTGCTTTTGCCAGTGCCGCATCTAAAATACATCTCTTTTTTTGCACTTCTGAAAAGTAAACCAGTTGAGCTTGACTCCAGAGCTAGAAAAGTGACATTGAACATTAACATTACTTAATAATGGAGTACTTTTTCAAGATGTGTTTGGGTAGTGGTTATTCTATTTGTGACTAATTTTTTGTAATTAATTTTATATTATTGTGTATTTGTCATATGAAGAAAATAGCGACTTTAAAGCTGTATTTTTTCAGTTTTGATTTTAATGTACTATGTACCCAACAAGTTTGATGTGAGATATCTGATTTGCCCTTTTGCCGTATGGATTGTTGTGAAGTTGGCACAGGACTTGGGAACATTAAAGAGAAGAATCTTGTGAATCCCATGAATGTCTGAGTTTAAAAAATTAACATTATTTTTTAACAGAAAGAGTGGGTGATGAGCGTGCAAGTAATTTGGCAATGGCACTGTTTCAGGGAGCTCTGGAATATGAAGAGGAGATGTTGGATGGGTTGTAATGTCAATACCCACTTATTTTTCCTACACTTACATTCCATGGCTTGCTGTAAAGGGCAGGATGGAAACAGCCCAAAGAATAAATGACTGTGTTATTTTCTGTGACTCTCCCAGAGCACCCTTCCCATGGGAAAAAAAACAAAGCAGGAAGTTCCTTCTTTCCCCCCCACTCCTCCCCCCCTTTTCTTTTTTTTTTTTTTTTTTGAGGTAGGTAAAAGAATCTGCGACACAGAAATGGCCTAAAATCGAAATAATGACTTTTTTAAAGGCTTGTTGCACTGCCCGACTCTCTTATATGGCTGCGTATTAACTTCTATTTGGTTGAAAGAATAGTAAGATTGCAGTTTGATAAGTCCAAGACAAAAATAAAAATGTTTTTTTACCCCGTGTGAATCAAATCTTCATTCTAAGATGTCCGACATTTACCTTTAAAGGCTCAAAAAGAAATGTTTGAAAGATACATTTTCATGAGAGACTTATGAAAATGTAGATTTGGGTTTGTTTGGTTTTTTTTTTTTCAAAGGCGTAAGGTATTTTCTGAAATGTTTTGGGGGTAGGGTAGTTGATACTTTATTTGGATAAGGAAAGGTATAGACAATAAATTCTGAGAGTTTTCTCAGAGGTCTTGTGAAGTCTTTTCCCCATCTTGTTTTGCAGTCTATTTTGTGCCTGTTCAATTTATTCAGGATTGTATTTCTTGTCTTCCAGGATGAGAGTCTGTTTTCAAGATAAACAAGCAAAACATTTAGTATAACTGTAGGCCATATAATGGGACTTCTGCACCATTACTATTACATGAATTTACTTAAATGACTCCACTAAATATCTGTTAGAACCACAATATTTTAAAGCTTTGCATGACACTATCTTTTGAATGAATGCTAGAAAGCATTCAAGTGGTAGGTTCCAGGAAACTATATTTCTTCAAGCATACTGTTGATTTTTGTTCATTTTATTAGTTAGGGACATTGATTTTACAGGAGTGTTTGAATCTTTCCTACATACAATTCTGCGAGATTTTTAGGATTTCAGAAAAAAGTCTTTCTCTCTGAATAAAAAGTAGAAATTTCAGCTGTATTCTGAAATGAGAGAAATGCACATTGTAAACCTTTCACACATCCTAATGGGATAAAAACCATAAAATTATTCCTAAGACACTAGCATCTATGTATTGAGATAATGACATTTCTTGAAAAATTTCAAATAAACTGAAACAGAGATACTTCTAATAAAACATTGTGCAAATTATGAAACTAGTAATGACAAATCAGCATCTGACCATCCCAAGAATTTTATTTGCATCGGTTTCAACATACTCGTTTTGCTGACAACCTGTTCTTTCTCCTGTTTTCCTCCCAGCTTTCTCTCTGGGCCTGATAACGTCTTCTAAACCAGCATTTGATCTGTTGAGACAGCAGTGTATTATTTATTTCAGCGTCTATCACTTCAGAGTTTAGTCAATCCTTTGAAATACACACTTAAGAGAAATCTTCAGTACTGAAGAGGTTTATTGTTACCCTATTAAGAACTTCTTACAAAGATTGATGCATGCATGTGTTGTAGTTAGGAAATCTATGTGTATCATGATTGCTAACACATCAGCTTTGCTGAAACCTTGTTCCCTTCTATTTTTATGTGTGGGCACACAACCATGGAAAGGAAATAATAATTAGACTCCCCTATCCTTTGAAGTATCTCTGACTATAGTCTTTATTTTCTGCATGGCAGGAGGAATGCCAGAACTACATTCGAGTGCTTCTTGTTGGAGGCAACCACCTCTTTACCTGTGGAACCAACGCGTTCACCCCAATCTGTACCAATCGGACGGTATGAGTTGAATGTTTTATCTCACCAGCTAGAGTCTCTGTTCTGAGCCAGCAGACTAAAAGGCAAAGCAGGCTGTGACCAAGTCCAGGCTATTTGCATATTGATGGGTGGGCTGATCTGTAAAAGGCTGATGTGACTAATGGTGGTCCCAACAGAAGAGTTAACCAGTGATGTCTTTGCAGTCCTTTCCTCAGCTGTGGGACAGAGCACAGCTACAAGCCGCTCAGTTCCTCACCCATGCCAGTTCTCATAAACCTTAGGTATTTTTAAGACTTCTGCCAAGACTTCTATCAAGTTTGGTTGGCATCAACTGGTTTATTTACAAAATGTAGTTGGGTAGCTACATACTGCATATGTGTAACTCTGAAGAAGATGAGAGTACCTGCATTAGTGATTTCTGACTGTCAAGACACCTTGGTTGAGAAAATCTGTCATTCTGTTTCTGAAAAAAAGCTCATTGTAATGTATGTGTCAAAGAAAGAGAGTCCATTAAGGATCAATAACAGTCATCACAAAAATCAAAATGTCTCTGTTTAGGCTAAGCTGGCTATTTATTTTTGGAGGGGAGTGGCATTTAAGTACAAAGAGTAGCTGTGTCACCAAAAAACTCCTTGGTTTATTTATTATCTTTAAACCTCTTGTACCTTTATTTTCAAATAACATTTTAACATCATACTGTGGATTATGGCTGAAAGTATGAGGACTACTAAATCAGAGAGATAGTTCTACTGAACTGAAAAGCTCCTTTTTTAATCTCATTTTTCATATGAGGTGCTTTTTTAGGACACTCAATAGACGTTTTTTTAATTGTCTGACCATTTGCTACAATGAGTACTTTAGTTGATTCTGGCCATCAGATCTGTTTTCTTTTTCATAATAACAAGCTATGTAGTGACAATTAATTCTGAGTTGCTTCTAATATAAAACATCTCAGGCGTGGTGGCTAATTATTAACTTGCATGTTTTACATACTGAAGTGGGAGAAGTGAGATCAGACAACATAACAGTAAAACTTTCTATACGAGACATTTTCAGATTGATGTAAAGGGCACCTCATTACTGTTGTACAATACCAAAGCAGATAACTATGTGTTTATGATAGGATTTTTTCTCAGATTGATGCAGCTTGTCTGAAATGATAATTTTCAAGTTATCTTAATGCAAATTTCTCACTCTTTTACAGTTAAGTAACTTGACAGAGATACATGATCAAATCAGTGGCATGGCTCGTTGTCCTTACAGTCCACAGCACAACTCTACTGCTCTTCTCACTTCCAGTGGGGAATTATATGCTGCTACAGCCATGGATTTTCCAGGAAGGGATCCTGCTATTTATCGCAGTCTGGGTGCCCTTCCTCCTCTCCGTACTGCCCAGTACAACTCCAAGTGGCTGAATGGTGAGTGCTGATGGACCACAAGGCTCATCTTTTTTCAACACATGTTTTCCATATTCACAGTCTTGAAATTCCATTCTGAGAATTTGAATGTTTTTAGAGTATTATTTATCTCATTTTTAAATTATTTTGCATAATACACTTTTTTATTTTACTACTAAAAGTATTTTGGCATTTAACATAGTTGCAGTATGTAGATGTGTACTTTAGGTCACGTTTGCAGGCACAGAGATGAGCTGCACTGTGTCTCTCAGGTGCACTTATATGGCAAAGCTGAGTCAGCTGAGAGCAGTAGCTTGCCTTGAGCATTCTTTTGTTGAGCCCTTCAAAAACCTAAAGCAGAAAATAAACAGTTTATAATGGACTGAATTCTCCTCCTTTCCCTGCAGGTCCCAGCCTTGACAAGCAGAAAAAGTTATACTTTCAAGCAGACTGACTTTTTTTGATGCCTATTATAGCCAAAGGATAGGGGCTAGTCTGCGAAAAGGGTCATAAAATCTTGTAGCCATGACTCTCTGTGTCACGGTTTTTAATCACCTGATGGGGATTTCCAGCTGAGAGAAGCTGTAAACAGGTAGTCTCGAGATGAAACCGGGCCCATTGCCATTTTATGTATTACTAAAAAAAATAAACAGATTCTTCTGAAATGCAAATTATTTGTCATAAAATATGAAATTATATATATTACCATTTGACTGTGCTTGAAAAAAACCCATATTTTCATAACTCATGCTACGTGACACAACAGTTACTATTACCACAGTGCGTTTCATGTTATGATGGGATTATTTTCCTGTTGAAATTAAGTGTAAATATAAAACCTCCTACCTTCAGAACATTAGGTCAGCTGCAAGTGACAGACTTTATTTTGAATGTTTCAGTTCTTATATAATCTGAATGCTGAATTATATGTATTTGCTTGTTGTATTTTCCTTATACAAAGAAGCCATCAGAGGTACCTTGAAGAAATTTGTAACCTTTTCTGAAGGTCAGCTGATTTTAGAGTATTAATTAGCAGAACAAAACCAAACTGCATGGAACATAACAGAATTGGAGCAGTGCAAAAGAAATGTGAGGGAAAAGAATAATTCCTTGTATAGGTATCTTTGTTCAGGCACCTTTTGTCCACACAGCCATGGTATTGGAACTAATTGCTGTTCCACACCTGGGTGCTTCTGTCAAAAGGAAAAAATTCTTCACACTGAATTTTCAGTTTAACTGGATGTACTTTCTGCCAACGGGCACACTAAAATTCCCCCTCAGATTCCTCTAATTAATCAGTTTCACTGCATTTACATTTTGTCTATTTAAAGGTTCAGCTGCACCTATACATTCTCTGTTAGGACTTATTCTTCTGCCTCAAAACTGTTTAGAAATAAGTTCCCAGGAAAGTGTGGCTTTTATCTTTGGAGAGGAAGAACAAGATGATGAGTTTGGTAGTTTGAGCCAGTTCAAGTAAATCCAATGAAAGGCTGAAAGCAGCCCAGTTACCTATATGAAAGGGAGAGAGAATGTCTTCTGGGGTAGCTAAGAGCTGGGGATTCGTCAGCTTGAGTTGAGGATTCATCTACTTTTATAACAATTTGCCTGCTCATTTGTGACTCAGTGCCAAAAAGCTGCGTTAGTTTTTCATTGCTTGGATGGAAGTGAAGATTTTGCTGCTTTCAGTGAGAAAGTAACGCAGATTATCCTGCAAGAAAAGTAAGGCATCAGCTGGAATGGAACTTCCTAGTCAGTATCTGTTCAGCAGCAGTAGCTGACAGTTACTGTAATTCAGTCTTGTTTTAGGTGTGCATGTGCATGCACACATGTCTGTGAATGTTTTCAATTTAAAGGAAGATTTTCTTCAGCGTCCGTGTTCCCCTCAGAGGGACCAACTCAAAGCATCTCTGGGGCAATGGCAGTACATGCGACTGATTATCTTGCTCTGTGTGCTGTTGTTATGCAATAAAGAGGTTGTTGATTTTAATGGCTATCACACTTCTCAGTGCATTCAGGGTTTTCAGTGACATCAGGAAGGCTGAAGGGACAAGCCCATATGCTTCAGCAGTCTGCTATCAGTGTTCAATGAAACTTGCAGTGAAAGATCTTGACATGGGAGGCTCTGAGTCTTCATCACAGAGGAAGCTTTGTTGCTAATCTCAATTGTCAGAAGGTCTGTCATCACAGGAACCATGACACATAGTGTGAAAGGGGAAAACAGAGCTGATGAGTCATGTCACTGGGGTGAAATCCCATATTGCTGTGCTGTGATTTTGACTTCTGGCATCACAGATATCACAAATAAAATAAATCTAAGTTGATGCCCTGTCTGAGCTTCCCCATTCGTTCTGGTTCAGCCAGAGTCCTGTATTTATTGTCAGGTTCTGCCTTCTTCTGGGGGCTTGATAGGTCCAGAAGCAATCCACACAAGGTGAATAGGTAAGTTAAAGTTATTTTCAGTCTATGTTACTGAGCATCATTCTGATCAGGTCCTTAGCCTTAGTAGAGTATTTGGAGAAGTCAGTGAACTTTCATTTCTGTGTTAAAATTTTCTTGATATACTCAACAGTCAGTTATCTGGGGTGATGGAAGAGTTGAGATAGTTTGGTTAAAAATATGAGTTATTCAAATATGTGTAAAAGTAAGCTACAAGAATATACTGTGAGAGTAAAACCGAAAGGAAAAAAGGAAGTTCAGTGTCCTCATGGTGCATGAAATGCAAAGATCTTGAGAAAACACGGATCCAAGAAGGTAGATCAACAATGTGGTGACACTGCTAACACAGAAATTCTGTTGACTGGAGATAGTTACTGTGGAGCCATTTTAGAGGGTCCCTGAGTATGCTGTTTGTTTACCCACTAGACAACCTGCTGACAATATTTGAGATTTGAATCCCCTGAATTTTGTCTCTTGACAGCGTTTAATGGCATACAGAGCAATTGGTCAAATGTTGAACATATCTGCCCAAGTCTTGAATATTTTTAATATTTTGGAAAATCTTAATGTGTCAATGGTCATGTCTTCAGTGGTGGAGGAAAGAAGCATCTGAAGGCAGTTGTTGAACTTGCTCTCTTTTAACATTAGGAGTAGTAATTTATGTAGCTCTTCGTTATCTTTGAATACAATTACCAGTTTTTAGGGTTTTTTACCTCAGAACTCCACTGCTCTTTCAAAAAAGAAATTAATCCTCTGCTTATGGAGCCTATTTCTGTGCTCCTGGTGCTCCAACAGTCAACATAAACCACAGCATGCCCAAATGCAATGAGCAGGTGTTTGAACACAGTCATCACCATGCAGAGATTCTACTCATCTCCATGAGGAGTTGCCACTGAAGGACCAGACTACCTAAGCGCTATGACTTGATACAGGTTGGGTCACGCTGACAGTACAGAGACAGGTGCCCTGTGTTGTCCTAACTTTTCTTATCTACCCTGTCAGTATTCTGTAACTCTCACACTGTTCTCAGTCAAAAGGAGCATCATCAACCCAGATGAGCTAACAACTGCTGCAAACCAGCACTCTTCCAATCCAGCAGCCCACCTGGTCGTAGGATAGTAAACTGGAAAATGTGAAACCGAGAACCACTTCCTCTCATGATGTCACATTTTGGCCCTCTCTTTTCTCACGTAGAGAAAAAAAGTTGCTCAAGTGAATGAATATATGCACAAAGTGAAGAAAGTAGCTTATTCCTTAAGGTGTATTTTTCTGCTACCTTTTCTTTTTGTCTCTGAATCTGTGTTGAAGTACTTCTTTGCTTGGTTGAAACAACTTGAGGTAACACAGCACACATTGAGGAGTAGGTCAGAAACAGCTGTTCCATTGTTTTCCTCTCCTGATCAAAGCAAGCAACAAGACCTTGAGCTTCACCCAACTGCTTAAGTCACTAATGGGCAGCATATTACTAGAACATTTTAAAATTACCTTAATAGTATTTAATAAAAATTAGACTGCTTTAGCAGTCTGCTTTGAACGTTATTAAATGATAGCAAATACAATTTTTTATTAAGGAAAAAAGTATGTCTTGATTTTAAGCTGCCATGCTGTTTGTTTGAGTCTCTTTAAGTTCTCAGTGAAAGATGGAGTTTAAATAATATCCATTTTGCTGATATACTGGGCTTCTAGTTAGACTTTGCTTTAGAGTTGATCTGCAAAGTGCAACAGGGGCAGAAGTCATCCTTATTTGCTCTAGAGCACAGAGGTAAATGGAAAAGTTATAGTTGTAGACCACAAACTGCAATGGGTCCAGATTGGCGAGGAAAAGCCTCTACTGCTTAGACTTAGACACTTTTTCTGTAGTCCATCATTTGCAGTTACTAAAGGTATTTCTCCTTTTAGTTCATCTCCTCAAGTCAGTGAATGTTTGATCTGCTGCCTCAGTGTGAAAAGTTTGTGTTAGTATGTCATGTCTGTTTGCTTCATTTAGCTGATAAAAGAGCAAAACAGATTACAGAAAAAACTGCAGTCCAAATCAATCCCTTTCTGTTTCATCACATGGAGAAGCACTGGGACATTTGGCTTCGTAATTTTCCGGATGACTTAGCTTGCAATTGCTTAGATCTCCAACTCTCCTGAAATACATTGTAGCTGTTTTATTTATCCTAGACATACAGTGATAGATACTATTGGAACATGTTAAATAAATAAAAACTTTGTTCTAAATGTCAAGCCACTTCATCAATAGGCAGTCCATAGATGATTGAAAAGTAATCTTACATCAGATGTAGCTGTAAAACAGAAAAATAAAATAAAATAAAATTGTAAATCCATACAGATTAGAAGCCTTTCCAGCTCTAAAGAGCATAGAAATGTTTGGATTGTTCTGCTCTGCTGGCAGACTTAACATTATCATTTTGTCCTCTTGCTGTCCTAAGCATTTGGTTGGTATTTACTCTTAAAATAGTTCTTCTGAGACCCCTTCTTAAAAATGTTTCACTTAATAAAAAGCTTACTAATCTAGCGTAGATAATTTTAATCTTCACAAATAACAGTAAAAGTAAAATTCTTACAAAGAATTGGTAGTT